AAGTAGGTGACTTAGACCACTGAGCCATCTCACCAGCCCAAGAGGGATTTGTTCTAATGGTGTTTGTAAATAGGACATCATGTCCGCATCTTGTACAGCAATTAACCACTAGGAAGAATGTATGCAATGTGTTAATTATTGAAACTGACCTACCAATTTGATTTGAAACTATCTCATTGCTATTTGTTTCTCAATAAAATTATGGAAAAAACAAACAAACAAAAGCAGTGAGAAGCTGGGGCTATAGCTCGGTGGCACAGCACCTCCCTGGCAAGCATGACATCCTCAGTTAGATTTCCAGTACCAAGAAGACCAAAACAAAACAGAAAAAAATACCAAAAACAGTTGAAAAATAAATGCTCATTGCCTGAAAAAAAATAAAAATAAAAATAAAAAACTTACTGATTTTTAATGTTTACTTCCAAATTCTGAGGGCTGGCAACATAGTTCAGCAAACTAAGTACCTGCTTAGGTAAACATAGAGACCAGGGTTCGATCCCCAGTCCTGCATGTGGCACCAGCCCCGCCCCCACCCCGGGACTTGCTGAGTCCAGGCATGGTGTTGCACAACTGTAATTCCAGTGCTGGGAAGGCTGGAAACACAAGCATCACTATGAGTCTGAGCTGCATAGTAAAACCCTGTGCCAAACACATTAGAAAAAAAAAAAAGAACAAATCCAATTTTGTTGTGTCTCTGTTTATACTAATTTCATAGTCTTATTCATTGCTAATGTTAAACACAATATTAGCCTTGTATGTTATAAGGCATTGTAGAAATTTTGTTTTGAAAATGAGTAAATACTCACTGGGCTAATCGTTATTGAAACAACAGAGAATAACACATGTTGGTGAGAATGTAGAGCAGTGGGGATCCTTGTACACTGCTGGTGGAAATGCAAACTACTCTGGCCACAACAGAAGACAGCATGGAAGTTTCCCAAACAATTAGACCTCACAATTACCTGGTGATCTTATAATTTCACTTCTGGGCATATATATACCCAAGAAACTGAAGCAGAGGCCCAAACATGTATTGGTACACCCGTGTGCCTAGCCACAGTATTCACAGCAACCAGAGGGTGAAACCCATCTGTTCTGGTGACACATGCCTACAAACCCAGCCCTTTGGGAGGCTGAGTCAAGAGGATTACAAATTTGAGCACAGCTTGAGCAAGACTTTGTCTCAGGCAGCAAAAATGAAAGAACCAGAGGTGTAGCTCAGTGTGAAGGCTCTGAGTTTAGTCCTCCATACTGAAGAAGAAAAAGAAAAAAAGTAGAAGCAACTCAAATGTCCATTGATGAGTAAAAAAGAAAAATGTGGCACATACATACAGCAGAATATTATTCAGTCTTAAAATAGAAGGAAGTTGTGACTTATGGTTCAAAATGGGTAAATCCTGAAGAGAGTATGATAAATGTAATAAACTAGTCACAAAAGAACAAGTAGCATGTGGGTCTACTTAGATGAGGTGTGCTGAGTGGTGAGAACCTCCCAGTGGAAAGTGGTCACCAGGGACTAGGGAAGGACAGCAGGTGAGCGTCATTTAGGGTGTAGCGCGTCAGTGCCAGGTGAAGAGAGCTCTGGAGACGGGCGGCTGCACTGCCGTGGGAGCGCTCCAGCCACTCAACTGCGTGCGCTAGGCTGTGTCTAACACGCTGCAGTTTGTATCTTGTGCATTTTGTGATGATGAAAAAGTACAATTTTAAGAAGAACGAGTAGGGGCCGGGGAGATGGCTCAGTGGAATAAGCGCTTCCCTAGCAAGTGCAAGGGTCTGAGTTCAATCCCCGGTTCCACCAAAAAAATAAAAAAATAAAAAGAACGAATAAGCACGAAGTTTTTCTAAGTCATTTTAGTCTTCATAAACAATATGCCTAATGCCTACAAATACATTTAAATGATTAGTACAAGTGTGTGCTCACGTAAAAGGAGCAGCAAGGGCTCGTTCCAAGCAGCGCTCCTTCTGGGAAGGAAGGAGCGTGGTGAAGATACTACCTTTTATCCTGTACCTATGTGTTGTTGAAGTTTTACAAGGAGAAAAAAATCCACGTATTACTTGTATATTTTATATGTTCATGTATAGCTTAAACAAAGCAATAATGTAGTTAAAAAATCAAGAAGCATAAAGGATGTTTACTTTTCTGTGTTTAAGGTTGAAAAACTTAAAGCAGAGATGTATGAATCTCCAAAGAACCAGCAGCTGGGAAACCACTCCCCTGAGAAAGCTGTGGGTGCTGAGCAGAGAGGGCAGGTATTTTAAAGTTGTGCATTTTCTGATTTCTAATTCTAAATGAGTTATGTTTCTACAGAATATACAGCAAATGGTGCTAATTATTTGCCACTTTTTTCTTCCTGTGATTTTTCTCTTGTTCAGTCAAATAGAGAGGAAGAAGAAATTGGGATATAGGCATCATTTCTTCCCACAAAAAATGATTAATTTTAAAAATGTGGTTGATTGTTTCTTTACAGAGAAAATCCTATCATATAAAGATACAGCAAGGGCCAGTGAGATGCCTCAGTGAACTAAAGCTCCTGCTTAAGCAAGCTTAGGCAAGCACAAGGACCGTGGTTCAATCCCCAGCACCACGTGTGCGCCAGCCCCACCCCCAGGGTGGGCTGAGCTGGCCACCAACACCAGGCATAGCGGCGCACGCCTGTAATCCCAGCACTGGGGGGCTGAAAACAGGAGGATTACCATGAGTCTGAGCTGCGTAGTGAGACCCTGAAACAACCAAATACATTTTTAAAAAAGATACAACAAATAGGAGCATTTCAAGTCATTGAAGAGCGCTATTTATACAATCAACCAAGGGTGGGGTGAGGGGCAGGTTGTCAGAACCATACTGAACATAGTTAAATGTTGTATGCAAGTAATAAGCTGTAGGCACCATGCGTGCATCATCTAGTTCTTCCTTATGACCATCCTTTGAAGTACTGAGGAAAGCAATTTAGTTCAAGACAGTGAGGTAAGGACCAACATGTACCTAGTAGATACAGAGCAGTAATTCATTGTCATTTTAATTGCCTTGTCTGAGGGTGGCTTAGCAACAATGGATGTATTTTGTGTGCTCACTGACCATTTGCATATGTCCTTTTGTAAGCCATTTGCTCAGATCTCTTGTTCATTCTTAATAGTTTTATTTGTGTTTTTACCTGGAATAATAGCTGTTCTTTGTTTTGATTTCTGGTCTTTTGTCAGGTATATGCAGTATAGTTATTTTGTCTCAGCCTATGCTATATTTTTGCATTTTTTTTTTCCTGTATGTAGGACAGGGTCTACAGGGTCTTACTATGTAGATCAGACTCATAGTGCTCCTCCTGTTTTTAGACTCCCAAACACTGGGATCACAGGTACGCGCCACCATGCCCAGTCTCAATCACCTGTCTCAGTGTGCCCCACAGGCGGGGCTGGCACAGTACATTGGGGATCAAACCCTGGCCACAGTGCTGTACCTAAGCAGGTGCTTTAGTCTGCTGAGCTATCAGGCCAGCCCCCCCACCCCACATTTTTTTCCTTTTTCTTAATAGTGTTAAGGTTTTAAATTTTTGATTCATCAGTGTTTTTATAATTTTATGATAGGATACAAAATCTACACAAATCTACATGATCTTTTTATACCCTAAGCTCATAAAATGTCTTATACTTTCTTCTAAAGTTTTTATAGTTATACTTTATACATTTAGATTTATTCTGCATTGCAGATACGATTTGTATATTCTGTGAGATAAAAGTTAAATCTCACTCATTTCCAGATGTACATCCATTTGTTGCAGAACCACTGTTGAAAAGACAGTTATAGGGCCAGCCAGATAGCTCAGTGGACTAAAGCATCTGCTTAGGGAGATGCAGGGACCGGGACTTGAGGGGTTCGATCCCCGGTGTGCCATGCCAGCCCTGCCCCGTAATCCCAGCACTTGGGAGGCTGAAAACAGGAGGATTACCATGAGTCTGAGCTGCGTAGTGAGACCCTGAAACAACCAAATACATTTTTAAAAAAGATACAACAAATAGGAGCATTTCAAGTCATTGAAGAGCGCTATTTATACAATCAACCAAGGGTGGGGTGAGGGGCAGGTTGTCAGAACCATACTGAACATAGTTAAATGTTGTATGCAAGTAATAAGCTGTAGGCACCATGCGTGCATCATCTAGTTCTTCCTTATGACCATCCTTTGAAGTACTGAGGAAAGCAATTTAGTTCAAGACAGTGAGGTAAGGACCAACATGTACCTAGTAGATACAGAGCAGTAATTCATTGTCATTTTAATTGCCTTGTCTGAGGGTGGCTTAGCAACAATGGATGTATTTTGTGTGCTCACTGACCATTTGCATATGTCCTTTTGTAAGCCATTTGCTCAGATCTCTT